TGCTCAAAGACAAAGCGTGCAGGAGACTCTAGAGGAGAAACTCGGTGCAACTGAAGGTGAAAGTGGATATGCTGTAGCGCAGTGGAACAATATAAAAGAATGCATGTTAGATACTATCAGTGATTTGGTTGGTAAAGTTGAGAAGATAGCAAGAAAACCATGGGTTACACAGGAGATGATGAGTAAAATGGAGGAGCGAAGGAAATGGAAGAATGTCAACAATGATGAAGGCAGGAGGAAATACAGGAGACTGAGGAATGAATTGAAAAGAGCCACGGACAGGGCCAAAAAGGAATATCTTGAGAAGATATGTAATGAGATTATAGAATTTCAAAGAACAGGACGTTATGATTTGATGTACATGAAGACAAAAGAACTAGGATGGAAAGAGAATCATGGGATTCAAAATATTGGCATCGAAGACTCCCAGGGGAATAGAATAGTAGATTAGATGCAAGTGCTGAAAATTTGGGAAAATTATATTACAGAACTATGTGATCGACCAAGTCAGCCAGAAACCTTAGAAGTTGAACCGGAAGAAGTAGATACAGACGAGAAACGACCATTTATTTTACAAAGTGAGGTGGAAAAAGCTCTCAAGGAAATGAGGAAGGGAAAGGCTACAGGAGATGATGATGTACCTGGAGATGTGCCCAAGTTACTGGGGGAAGGTGATTTTGAAAACACTGACAAAACTATTGAACACCATATATGAAATTGGAGAGTGGCCCAAGGACTTTACAGAAGTTACAATGATTGCCTTAAAGAAAAACACAAAGGCTACAAAATGCAGCGACCATCGCACAATAAGCCTTACTGCACATGCAGCAAAGATAATAGCAAAGATACTTAAAAGAAGAATTGAAAGGAAAATAGAGGTTATACTTGGAGAAGATCATTTTGGATTTAGTAGAGGATTAGGAACCAGGGATGCAATTGGGATGATGAGAATTATAGCGGAACGAACTTTGGAGATAGATGAAGAACTGTGTGTTTGCTTCATAGACTGGCAGAAGGCATTTGACCGGGTAAACTGGACCAAATTAATGCAGATCCTGAAAGAAACAGGTATCGATTGGCATGAAAGAAGATTGATTAGCAAATTGTACATGGATCAGAAAGTTAGAGTACGACTGGACAGGGGGGAGACAGGAAGTGTGCAGATTGGAAGAGGAGTTCGACAAGGATGCTGTTTATCACCAATTCTGTTCAACTTGTACAGCGAATGCCTTACCAAGGAAGCTCTGGATGGGCTCGGTGACTTCAAAGTAGGAGGGCAAATTATTCAAACTGTGAAATATGCAGATGACCTTGTGTTAATGGCTAAGGAAGAAACTGTGCTACAGGGCATGATTGATAGACTAATTGAAATTGGAAGGTGCTATGGCATGGAAATGAATGTGGAGAAAACAAAAGTAATGAAAATTTCGAGACAACCAACCCCAGTCACAATAAAGATAGACCAAAAACAACTAGAGAATGGGAAATGTTTTAAATATTTGGGTAGCTTGTTAACAGATGATGGAAGGTGTACTAGTGAAATTAAAACCAGGATTGCCATGGCAAAAGCTGCATTTAGCAAGAAGAAGTATCTTTTTACCAGCAAATTGGACTTAAATTTGAGGAAGAAACTAGTGAAATGCTACATTTGGAGCATACTTGGACACTTAGGGTAGTAGATCAGAAACATCTGGAAAGTTTCAAAATGTGGTGTTGTAGAAGGATGGAGAAGATCAGTTGGACCGATTATGTGAGAAATGCAGAAGTGTTAATTAGAGTCAGTGAGCAGAGGAATATCCTACAAGAAATAAGAAAACAGAAGGCTAATTGGATTGGTCATGTTCTACGCAGAAACTGCCTTCTAAAAGAAGTTATTGAAGGAAGGATAGAGAGGCGGAAAGAAGTGACAAGAAGACGTGGAAGAAGACGTAAGAAGATGCTGGATGATCTTGGGGACAGAAGAGGATACTGTCGTTTGAAGGAGAAAGCTCTAGAACACATTAAGTGGAGTAATTGTTTTGGAAGAGACTGTGGACCTGTCATCTGACAGATTACTGATGATTATGATGATGATAGTATTATATACAAGGCCTCTTGTCAGTCTAGGTTCACTACAGCAGATTATGTCCTATTTCTAGTAGTACTCGCTTCCACGGCAGTCTAGTCACTTGAACGGTCATATACCTGACCGCCACCAAGTTTAAGCCTCATATATATTCTGTGGCGGGCTTCGCCTTATCCGATGTTGCGAACATTCTCATTATCATGATTTTGTATGACTTCTGCTTGTTACCTGCATAATTTTTTTATAAAGTCATATACGTACGTGATTTTGAGTGCCATGTGCAAATCGCGGATCAGCGTGCTCCTTGGAAAACTGCCTATCGTGCGGAGAACCTTTTTTGCAGGCGCTGCAACTTCACTAGATGGGTGTCTACGGCAAACTCCCAGGCGGGACTAGCATAAGTCATTACGAATATAATAAGAGCTTTATGGAGGGTCAGTTTCATGTTAGCGCTCAATCGCTCACTTTTGAATAGGGAATATACTCTAATGAATGTTCGAAGGCCTTGGCTTCAATCATTTCTATATGTAATCTCCATGTCACTCTCTTATCGAAAATTACACCTAGATATTTTGCACTATTTACAAATGGAATATTTCTTCCATTTTGAGTAGGACAAGACTCGGGCGGTCGACGACCACGAGAGAAGTAGACCCCCTGAGTCTTATCTTCATCAATTTTTATATTCCAGCGCTCACACCAGGCCTCCATTAAGCTGAGACCGCGCTGGAGTTTTCTAACAATAAAGCCCTCCTTGCGATCTGTCGCATACCGATAGGTGTCGTCCGCAAAGAGGGCCAGATAAACACCATGAGTTTGGGGCATCATTTATATACAAATTGAAAAGTGTAAGGGAAAAGACAGAACCTTGTGGCACCCCTGCTTGCATTTCCCTTGGTGTTGACATTTCGCCTTCAACCGAGACCCTGAATTTACGCTTAGAAAGAAAGGACCCAATAAGTTTGGTCAAACTGTTCGAGAATTCCAATTTTGATAACTTATACAGCAATCCTGAGTGCCACGTGGTACCAAAGGCTTTATCAATGTCCAAGAACACCGCAGTCTTAGACATTTTATTGTTTAAATTAATGGTCGCGTGGTCGGTCAGCCTCATACATTGCAATGTCGTGCTGTGAAGATGACATCTGACACTGATATTTTTGTGAACCACAATATCTAACACGTCACCATTTCCCGCAGGGGAATAATGAGTGGGGCACTGTGGTGCTGAAATTTCGAAGTCACTCCTATCAAATAAATCAACGAGTTCCAAGCCTGAGGGGTTTGAAACTCTGCTATTCCAAAATGGGTTCTTAGCATTCAAATCACCTGCCAAAATAGACTTACGTCTGAAGCTTAAGAGCTCAGTGATGTCAGCATCACTCCAGGCTTCGCCTGGAGATTTGTAAACAGCTGCAAGCAGCACTTCGCTATTACCAATTGGTGTGCAGACCCCTGTCGCTTCTACTGAAACAAGGGGTGGTAGGTCTACGTGATTTTGGGGAATGCCTTTTCTTACTGCAACGGCAGTTCCGCCTTTTCTGCCCGAGTGGCGGTCGATTCTATAAAAGTGGTAATTTGGAATAAAGAACCTCTCATGAGGTTTCAGATGTGTGTCTGAAAACAGGGCCACATCTATGCGTAGGTCTTGCTGCTGTTTACTGAGCTCATAGTGCTGCCTCCCAATGCCGTTCGCATTAAATGCTATGACTTTAAGAGGCCTATGAACTCTAGTGGCCATTTTGTTTCATTAGGTTTAGACCAATTTTAGTAATGGCCATTATTTTTTCCTCCTTGGACACTGCGCCACTGACCTGTCATAATCTGCTGTACTACAGTCACTACTCTCAAAATATTGTCGAGAGATGGACTGTTTACATGAGGAGCCTGAACTGACTGACCTATTTCCTGTTGCAGTGCAGGGGCTGGAACAAACTGCTGTCTTGCTGCAGGTGTAGAAGTCACCGGAGAGGGATTTTTTGAGGATGTTGCTTTGAGCCGCCGCTGAGTGCCTCCGCGAAGGAGACACCTGGAGTGATGACGTTTGATGAAAACACTTTCCCTATGGTAGTTCTGGGCATTCTCTGTGTCTTCTTCTTTTGCTGCTCCTCCTTGGCGTATCTGCAAACCCGATAATTGGCAGGATGTGGGGTTTCTCCCTCCGCCAGTCGGCAGTTGCAACATGCTGGAGTGTAGGCAGAGTTCCCCTTTTCTGGGCACTCCTTGTGTAGTTGGCAACCTCCGCAACACAAACAACGTGGGGGTTGCTTGCAGTTTGCCCAAACGTGACCGAACTGCTGACAGTTATAACACTGTGTAAGCCCGTTTTGCCCTTTGTACGCATCTACCCTGATGGCAATGTGGCTGAGGTTGGTTAAGCGGAAGAGTTCTTGGGACTTTTCCGTTCTTGGTAGGGGCACAAGGAACAAGGGAAAATTGATGGTCCTTGCTCCTTCCGGAGGTGCCTGACGACTGGTTGTCATTTGTTTGACGTTAATAACGTCAAAACCCAGACTCACCAGACCGTCAGAGATATCCTCCGCTGGAGTATTTTGCGGGAGGTGACAGATGACAGCTTTAATGGGGTTTTAGGATTTTGGGTAGTAGGAAAAGTATGCAAGATTGTTATCCTCCAGGAATTTCTTTATTGCTGAAAAGTCCGCCATTTCTTTTGTGACAATTCTGGTCCCACTCCTGGTGTTGCGGAACTCAAAATTGCCATTTACAATGCCTTTGATATTCCTCTGCAACTGTATCAGGATAGTTGTAGAGGTTAGTACAGTGGGAGGAGGCCTACCTGACCTGCTGCAAGATGAATGCTGCTGTTCCTTGTCGGTTGTTTCCTCCACGACATCCATTTCTGTCGTTCTGAGGGGTTTCGCCTACGCCTTCTTTGCTCGCGAAATTCCTCGACTGATTCTTCTTTTTGTTCCAGGAGCGACTCTCGCATCTCCCTGTGGATGGCAGCATAGAGGTGCAGCATGGCTGTGAAGAGAGCATTCCATTAACTGCACAAAAACAAAATTAGCAGCTCCGTCGGCCTTTCGTGCCACCGTAACAAACAAATGAATCAGTGAAGCGCTTTACACAACAGCTGATACTAGGAAACCACGCGGCAACGCAATTGTAAGAAGACTGGCCTACTCCGTTGACTGGAAATTGAGTTTCTGAGTCTTTCCGCGAATTGCATTGCCGTTTTCTCAATTTGTGTTGCTCAATTTAGTAACATGTGTTCAACTTAGGCTTACAACAATTCTCGGAAATCGCGGTTGCCAGTTTCCTTGGTGTGCCGTCGGCCATACAGCTACGCGCTCTAGTTAACAACGCCTCACACACTGCGCAGGTTTTGTACAACGATTACCTTGAGCGGATTTGAGGGCCTGTGAATCAACACGTCAGAGACGGCAAGGGCTAGCACGCATTCGTGCCACGTTCTATCATGCAGCCACGGATCGCTCATACTTTTCTGTTAAAGAATGTGACAAAAGCCACGATAAAGTATGATGTGGATGACCCATGTGGTCCATGGTTCTGCTGTTCAAACCCAAATAAGGAGGAATGATAATCATCTCACCTGCGATAATCACTATAGTATTAATACAAATATTCAGTACGAAAAAATAACATGAATGCGTATCACTAATACAAATCAGTGACATCCATGAACCATCCGTGTACCTGTGTTGACACGTCAGGTGGTTCATGATTTTCACCAGATCTAAGCAATCATAATTTCACGTCCTGGGAGACAACTGTACCTGTGTTTTATAGCGACAGGCATTTTAAAAATACAATTTTACCATCTGCATGCAAGTGGTCGTCACGATCTGCGACGGTAATACAACACAACAGCAAAGAAAACTAAAGTTGCATAATATCTCCTTTTCGGTCGACATAAAGCACCATTGAGGTTTCCGGCTGGAATATCAACCAATCACTGTCCTAGTAACGCTATCGCCAAAGCTCCGAAGATTCGATTGACCAATGAAATGCCTCAAGAGTATTCGATTAGGTGACTACAGTCGGATTTACACGTGTACATGAATAGAGATGTTTAGTAAATAAGGTGTCAACTATTTTATGCGTACGGATTACCTCTTATGACATTCAGTAGGTTACTGTGCAATCAATATAAAGCCACCAAACTGCTGACTTCTGGTGACGTGGCCTCATTGAAGAATTATGTTGAACAGGTGAAGTTGTAAAAAAAAAAAAAAACTAATAGAGCTAAATAAACGGAATATAAATATTAAAACACAATTAAATTTTATTGCAAGAAACTTACGTTTAATAATACAGTCGAAGTCTACTGGTGCACAAGTAAAGACTCGTCCAACTAACATAGTGGACAAAGTTATTGCAAATGTTTTTGCTGTGCATCATGTCCCATACTTAAAGTAGAAAGACCCTTGTATTCACATCTGCAAAGCTTAAAATGTCCATGTAAATTAATCATTAGGTTGTGTAAGACCTGTGTTATTACAGCTGTGATTGCTGCTAGGTAATAAAATATGAACCACTAATAGAATTCTGAACATCTGTTCATTTGCAGCATGAAGTGTATTTTGCACTGTTACATATGTATGAAGGCATGTTTCAGTCACAGGAATGCAATCATATTTCAAGCTACATCATACAGCCATTTAAAGTGTCTAATATATGAGTAATTGCCTCATGTGCTTGATTCCTGCTTGAAAATTACTGTTGTGTACTATCTTTTTTCTCATTGGGTGAGACTGGGTGTACTTGGTACTGTGGTCATTGTTTGGCCTATTGTACCAGCCCCAGATGATAGATGATGATGATGATGATGATGATTGTAGAGCAATCGGTGGAATGTGAATTGACAAAGTAAGCCGAAGTACTCTGAGAAAACCTGCCCCAGTCCCACTTTGTCCACCACAAATCCTGCATGACCTGACCTGGGCTGAAACCCAGGCCACCACGGTGAGAAGCCAGCAACTAACAGCCTGAGCTATGGCATGGCCTAGTGTGGTTACCTACTAACAAAGGAAATTGTGCCAGCGGTTCTCTGCATGTGCTTGATTTAATGCACAATGGAAGGGCACATTACATCGCTACTGGTTTATGTTTGGTTTCTAAAACTGATCAAGGCGATGAGAATTAGTATTAGAATTTTCAATGAAATACTGATTGGGATGATTATTACATTATTCTTCATTAACTGAATACAGAAATCCACAGGATGCCTGCAAATTTTGCAAATACAAACATTTCTAATTGGCTGAAATAACTTGTAAGAGGTGTAATGTGTATCTACAAGACTGCTGTTCATAACTGACTTACATAGTCAAGGAGAGAGCTATGTGGACCCTCCAGAAGAAACTAAATATAACAAATGGATGCTTCCACTCCCCTAAAATTTATAATTACACTAATGCAGATTTGTATATTTTCCCTAATATATCTACACATTGTAGGAGCCGGGATAGTGCGATCAGTATAGCTACTGGCTATGGGCTGGACGACCAAGGGGTTGGAGTTCAAGTCCCAATAGGGTCAAGAGTTTTCTCAACATCATCCAGACCGGCTCTGGGGCCCTCCCAGCCTCCTATCCAATGGGTACTGGGGAACTTACCCTGGGGGTTAAGTGGCACGGCTTGAAGCTGACCAATCACCTCCAACTAGAGCTGAGGTCAAGAAAACGTGGATCTATACATCCACTCCCCCACAAGTCTTCATGGTGTAGTGCTTAATTAGTTAAGCACAGGGACAACTTTACCTTTACTGAATTTTCCACAAAAGGGACACACCCTTCTTCCAGTTTCTCATGTCATTTTAATCTTGTCTGTCATTAATTTCCTCACCCTCTGTAACAGGCTACAAACTATGATCTGGTCTGTCAAATATTACCATTTCACCTCTGGCAAATGGGGAAAATTTCAGACTGTATCTGGAGAGGGGGTCACAGAACCATTAGATTGCTTGCTGTTAGTGACTGGTAAGAAGGACTGATACCGAATCAGGTACTGATCTATGCTTATGATGATACATTAGACAAAAACATAAATACCGTAAAGAACAGAGAAGACCCTTATACTGCTCTCATACAGTTTTTGGCATCAGACTGGATGCACTGAAAATACACATTGTAATTGATGTCTTTAGCATGGTCACCAATCCAGTAAAAATCCATTCCAGTACACCAGTATTGGTGACACTAATGGTTTGCTAGAAATTGATGTGATATTTAGTAAGGAGTAGAAGTACATATATTCTTTCATATAGGCATCAGCTTATTGGGGTTGGTGAAATAATTAAAGAATTATCTTTATGCCTCATTCTATTAACAGTTTTTCCATAAAAATAAGAATGTGAATTTTGAGGCATTATTCAACAAAGATAAGCTTCATCAAATGGAATGTGTAGCAGATATGTTTAGATTGCTGGACTGAATGTTTCTTAGCAGGCCATAATTCAAGTATCTTCAGTTATATGAAAAATTAAATCTTTACAATTTAAACTGAAGTTGTGGGCTTCAGATCTCAGTATTCATGTTTCAATTCTTGCTGCTCATGTTGAAGAATAAAGCTGCTTCGCATTTAAATGAAATCTTACTCTCAGAAACTGAAATTCATTTGCTCAGTTTGAAAGAAGAGATGAAGATATCTTGGGAGGGACTGAGAAAATCATGAAAATAGTATGGTCAGTGTTCTGGCTTCAAACTGTGCACCTGATTAGGGGTTTTGAGCATTAGTACCAGATCAGGCTGATCAGTGACTTACATAAAGGTGGGAGGAAAATGTTAAAGTTTAATGTGGTCTGAAAATGTGGATTCACCTGGCTCATGTAGGGTAAAATGGTGGGCCTCTGTGAACACAGTGATGGACATTTAAAGTCAACATGTTGAAGTTCACATACTTGAACCTAGGTTCGTTGTAAGGACATGAATGAGGACACACAGTTTGTACCAGATTTAGACTGAAGAATTATAGTTCTGCCATGATTTAACAATCCCTAGTATCAGTGATCAGCATTGTCTGGCAATCATGTTGCTTAACAGTTTTAAATTGAATCTGAAGAATTCTAGTCTTGTTACTCATTTTATGTATTGGAAGAGTATTTTGTGAATTTTAATAGGAAGAGTAAACTTAATGCCGGTTATTTTCTTGGGTTTTAGTTGTATTATTTTATTATATCTGTATGATTAGCATTGTGCTGTATTTTATTGTTGTTTCTTTTATATATTTGGAAGTGTATTTTGAGTATTTTTGATAGGAAGGGTTGAATTGATACTCATGTTTTTTATGATCTGAGTAGTATTATTTAACATATCTGTATATTGACTTGGTACCTTGTACTGTTTTTATTTATGTGTTTTGTTTGACTTTTCCACACCCTCTGAATGTATTTCTAGTATTGGATTTATGGAAATAAAGACTACTACTACTACTACTACTACTACTACTACTACTACTACAAACTCTTTGCTTATCTGTACTTTTACTACTGCAAGTTTGTGAATGCATGCTTCATTCTTTGAAGCTGAAATGAAGATCAGGCAACAGCACTGCAATTGCTCACCAGAGCTGGGACTTATTACATCATGTGCAGACAGGGCTAGGGAATTTTAAATTGCAGTGCAACTATAGTGACTTAATTGTGGACATAGTATCTTGAGGGCCAAGTGTCTTGCTAAATCATGAGCAACCATGTTCTTAGGTTACTTCTGTTTTTAATAATAACATATTAAACCCTTTTATTTCAGGTAAACTAAAACATGTCAGCATTAGCAAATCAAGATAATGAAGAAAGTAAAGTAAGAAATCGCAGGGAAAATGAAAAACCACTCAACTTTCTTGCCAAGATAGCTCTGGGCTGCCAACAGATGAGAGTCCAATCTGACAAAGGGAAGGAACAGGAAGTGAAAGGGCTCTCAGACTATACTGATAAGTACTTTGATGACTCAGAGGAGTTCACAACTGATAAATGTGGAAATTCCAGTAGAGATGATACTGATCTGAGCTACCTGTTGGAAAGTATTTGCTCCATGAATGATTCTCATAATGCAGTCAACAAAATGCATCTGTTAGCATCTTTAGCCAACATGTGTATGCAAAGACCTGAGCTGTATGAAACCATAGGTTCCAGCCCACTGGTTTACTACGCAGAAAGTTTATTACTAACATACACTGAAGCACTCTATATGCGCAACAGTTATACACGAGGAATAATTATAGCAGGCCCATCAAGTTCAGAGCTTATCCTTCTTATTCCTGTCCTCAAACTTCTGGCTTCTTCTGCCAACATGGCTGTTCAAAAAATCCGAGCCATCTTTCTGTATCAGTCAGAAGTACTGCTGCAACTGATGCGAGCCTCAAATCAATGCAGCTACAATGCCATTTCAACACATAATAAGTTGCATGATGCAGTTTCAGGCAAGGTGCTTGCTGGTGCTATTTTAGAAATGTCTAGTTTGGATACATTGACATTATTTGCAAAATGTTTTGGAATAGATGCAGTATCACTTAACCTGAAGTTGCTGGGTTATTATACTATTTTGTATGACACAAGTGGTACAAATGAAATTAACATTAATCTGAAGATTATTAGGAATCAATCTCCAAGTGGTAAAAAATACACACAGTCACTTGCAAGCAGCTCTGATCATAATCCCATTTTGGATTCTTGTGAGAGTATTGATAATGTAAATTGGAGTGACATAATTGTTGCACGAATTCTGCTGTTAAAAGTTGTCTTGGTATACATGAAGGATGACTGGAAGGAGCATTTGGCTCACATCAGTAGCCAAGTGCAAAAGCACTTGAGAACAGAGGATGCAGTATTACAGAAGCCACAAATTGGAGCTGTTTATGGCTTCTGGAGCTCAGTAAGTGTAACACAGTGTTTGTGATTTATGATGTGTAGCATACCTGTCAAGGTTCTGCTCTCATATATGTGTAAATATAAACAATGCTTTTCTTAGTATAAATAAATGGTTCAAAGTAAACCAACTTTCTATAAATTTTAACAAAACCCACTACATTCAATTTACAGCTAGAAATAATAATCCTAAATGTGAAATAAAAATTGTATATGATAAAAAACAAATTATATCTATATGCAATATTAAATTTCTTGGAATATTCATTGATGACACAATGAGCTGGAAATACCACATTGAGTATATTAGTTCAAAACTAAGTGCAGTCTGCTACATAATAAGATCGCTTAAAGCATACACATCCATAAATACTGTAAAAACGGTTTATCACTCTTATTTTAATTATAGTATAAATTATGGTTTACCCTTTTGGGGCAACTCACCCCAAAGTATAAAAATTTTTAGAATGCAAAAGAATATAATTAGAATTATGTTGGGCTGCAGAAGGAGGGATTCATGCAGGAACTTGTTTAGATAATTAGAAATCTTACCTCTGGCATCTCAGTACATACTGTCTCTTATGCTCTTTGTGATAAAAAACAAACAAACAAACAAATTCATAGTAAATTAAGAGATTCATAGAATAAATACCAGACAGCAAAATTATCTTCATCAGCCTCTTGTAAATTTGAATAAATACCAAAAGGGATACTGTTTAGGAACGAAGGTCTATAATAATCTATCACAACATATTAAGGATATATCAAGTGACACTAAGAGTTTTGAGATGCAATTAAAACACTTTTTATATTTGAATTCTTCTTATTCTTTACAGGAATATTTTGGCTATAAATCTTTTTAAGATGCGAGTAGCTGCCTTGCTTTACAGTTAAAAGAAGACAAGATTGTCAGTCTATGTTCTGGTTTTTAGATACTTATTTTAGATATAAACAATCTTTATATCACTGTATACTAGTCTTTATTTCAATTTATTATATAATTAATGTATGTTATACAAAACTCATTAATGACGTGTTTTAACTATTGAAATTTAATTAATAGACTTGTATAAAACTGTACAAATTGTATAAGGTTTGCCATTACTTTTACTACTAAAATTAACTTATTTATTATATTGTATATATTGTGACGTGCTGAGCTATGGATGACGCCCCTCCCCCCCCCGCCAGCCGTGATGCGCCGAAGCGAGCCGATGTTAGCCGAGTCCTAGCATCCTGGTCGCTAGGCAACGCAAGTCAACAGCGGTGACGTCACCAAGTAGTAACAGCGGTTACCTCCGCTAGCGTTACATAGCAACACAGCGACATAGCAACAAGGGTGCCTATTACGTGGCCGTTTTCCCGTATTGTCCGATCGAGGCTACATAGGGAGCAGCGAAGGCTATTCACAGTCAGTTCTAGTGTGGCTACCGCAGAGTTGTACTGAGTCAGTCAGCGAGTCCTGGACCTATCGTCGAGTTAGCCAGCAACCAGTCAGTTGTATTGTGGCATTTGGAGTGTACTA